AATCGTAAACCTTTGCGAGCCAATTTCTCATGAATGATTGCTTGCTGTGGTGAACAAGCCTATTCATTCTGCGGATTCTAAAATTTAATGTCGCGTAATCGAATCGTAAGGGAACCTGGTCCGAAACTGAACTAAAAGAAAGATGTCCGAGTCGAGAGTGAATTTTCCGATGGATGAAAATTTGAAAACCTCGTGTGAATTTCCTTCGCGCGTGATTTTTCAAGTCCTGAAAACATTGACTGGAATTCGTGCCCCCTCTTGACTTCATGCATATTGCGGAATTTCTGTATTCAATACCTTCTGTGCTGTATATGATTTTTAGGTATTGTTGCCTAAATCGAGTCCCTAGAAAAGCAAAGAACGAAACGGAGGGCTCGTCCTTTTCTGGGAAGTTCCCGAAAAACCTTGAACTTCATCCCCGCAGTGGTAGTGGTGTGGTTTTTGACCGGGGCAAGACAAAGGTACTGTACTCTCTTATCTGGCACTTGTTTACGTATCCCGGTTATCAGTGAGGGTTAATCCGTACAGTATTCTGGTTTTGCGCGAGACCGTTCGCGTGTGAGTGATCGTGTGACATTTTTGAAGTGTCCTTTCGTTTATCTGAAATTGTGTGCTTTCTACGAATGGTACTGTGATACCTGTGTTATCTGCAAAGAAAAGCGTTGACTCCTTCGAGTTAATGCTGACTTTTATAGTAAAACTGGTGATTCAGTGGAGCTCGGGGATGCGGACGTAATTGGTGCTTGCCCCTTGTCCCTATGTCGGAACCCGTTTTCCCTTACTTTTGAATGTGAACATACATACGGTATGTCATTGGTTCAACTGTTGATCAAAAAATGAGGGAAACTTCCCCCAGAAAATTGAATGAAATTTTATTAACTTCAAGATACAGAAAATAACTGTGCACAATAAAATCACACGGAATCTGATCTTCTGGCATGAAAAAGAGCCCACAGAACAAAAACAAGCAGAAATCTTGCTGTACTGTGCACAGATGATGAGGGAAAATTAAAAATAGGAGCGCAAAATTAGACCGTTTTGCAATATAAATTTCGGTGGATTAATAATATTGTGCCATTTTTTAAATATTTGAGCGTAAAATGCTCAATTTGATTGATATTGTATATAGACATATTGATACAGACAAATAAAAAACTTATTTTGGATGTTTTTCATTATTTTCAAAAATAAAAAATACTTATTTTAAGCATTTTTTTCATTTGTCTGTATCTCGCGACAGTATGGCAGTGGATGTTGAGGCAGGTGTTCTGAGTTTCAAGTATCCCCGACTCGAATTGTCCGTATGTCGGGGGCCCCAGCTGTAGACATTATTGCTCATATCTTTACTTCGTGCAACGTAATACTGTACTGCATTCTGTTATTTAGAAGGTAGCAACTTGTATCATGATTCAGGCAACACTTGAAAGCCACGTATACCACATAAGCATAGGTTGTTCGCTTTTTCCGTTAGATAACGAAACCAAATAAAACGCGACATTTTGTATATTCCTCCTCGAAAATCAAGTGCCAGATCCTTGAGAAAAATTGTGTGATCCTTGTGTAGTCGTAATTAAGAAAATCAAGAGGTCATTAAACGCGTGTCTCAAGTATAGAAGGTCAACTGGTGGTGGCGGCTTACCCTTAGCCCCCAGTCTAAAGTGACTCGCTTCTGGTATGGAATCAATATACAGTACATTAGGAGGTTTACTGCTCCCGAGCTAAGCTTTTTTTGCGTCCTTCTTTGTCTGACAGCCCGCGTATGGCCTGTGTTAATACTGTACAGTACAATATTTTAACTCAAATAGTCGATGTGTGAAGTGTTCTCCCTGTGTTGAGGTTAGCATGGGCTGGACGTTGGACTAGTGCAGGTTATCTATCAGCTTGTGTCTGTCCTTCGCACCCGAGTTGAGAAACGTGCGCTCAGTTCAGGTGGGCTCAGTTGCGCAGGCGCTGCAGTGGCGCGCAGACGCGTTTGTAATTTCTTATTGGTTGCGTCGGCTAATTTTTTTTTTCAAGCTTGTCCAAATTGTTTTTTTTTTCGGGTTGTGGCAGACTTACAAAACAGAAATGTGTTGTTGATTGTGCTTTTTCTCGCCCCATTGTCATCCATCATTTCATAAATGTTCATCACATTTATCAGGTAACGCGCGTTTGCCAAGAGGCATGCATGCTTGGTTTGTGGCGACGGATGGGTAAGCAAAGTTTCTGGTTCTTTGAAGTACTGAAGCTGTGACGTATGTGGTTGCATCAGTGGTTTGCCTCACGTTGTTTCTGAATATAATGGAAAAACCAAGCGCGTAACACTGTTTGAAGTCGTAAAATTATTTTTGAAAGTGCATCTTCGTAGCGACGTGGAAATCATGTTTTACCGTTTGTCCAAAAATTATGTACTGTATATGCTTCTTTCTTAGCCTTGAAATAAAATGGGAGTCGAATAAGTGTGTGGAATTGAGACGACCGTTTTCTCGATATTCCGTTGTGGTGCGTCTGAAATATTGACTCGTCGTGGTTACTGACGGAATTTCCAATATTTTTGAACTTGATGTTTCAGTAGTGAAGCTACTGAAAAAGCTTGAATTGTTTTTATGTATTTGATAAATTTTATTCCAGCTAACAAGTCGAGGATTCGGAATTCGAGCCCTAATAGTTACATGACATAGAAGCATTGCTTATTTATTTTCCGACTAGGATGTAAATCCGTGAAGGGATGATGTAAAAACCAATCCCTTCATCTTCGGCGCGGGTGATCATTAGAAAACAGGATTCAAGCATGCCTCCTTTCAAGGTACCGTTTTTTAAAAACCGGATCTTGTTGAAAGTTTTTGGATTTTTCGCAATTTGTGCAAGGAAAACAACTTCATTACAGTATTTCTGCACCACTGAAGTACTGTCAGTGCACGTCTGAAGACTCCTTTATGGCCCTGAACCAGGTTTTCACAGTGGTTAGATCATTTCCACCCAGCCTTGAATTATTCAGCAAGTTTCAATGGTAGTTCAAGGTTTATGTCTTATGCCGCATTTTTTTTTAGGAAGTTCAAGGGTTCGTGATGCCCTGAAAAAATCATTTCATGTAAAAAAAAATTTGAAAAAGGGAGTGAACGCTTACACGCGTAGTTGAATGCTCCTGGCCTTGTTAAAATGGAAGTTTCTTAATAATGTTCTAGGCTTTTTCTAATTTTTCCAGATTTTCAAGAGTTGTCGACTTAATTTGCGGTGTGCTGAAAATTTTTCCACGAGAGTTTCACATTTTAAACTTTCTTCTTTGGTAGAATGCTGTGTATTTTGTTTCTTACATCATATGAAGAATGAAAAAAAAATGTGGGGTTTCCTTACAACCCTGTGATCCGTGATTGTTGTGTATCTTCACTGGGTGAAGGTTTGTTGGTTGGGTGTCGAGTCCCTCGCAACTGTATTTCAATGCCTTGGGTCTTGGAAAAGGCTAGGTTTTCTTGCTGGACGAATGCGCGCCTTGCCTGGCGCAATCTCATCATCCGCTTCGGTAAACGCGCCCCCAATAGACCTACGAAGACAGGCACATGGATAACTCTCTTTTCTGTGTCTTTCACACTCTCCCTATATTCCAACGGTCACGGAAGTTGCGTTGGATTATCGGGTGATCCGCGGTCGAATGGTCGGACCGAGAAAATTTCCAACTAGGGCTTCCCTTGTTTTCATTGCACTGTGCTTGAGAAAACAAGTACAATACGAACTCGAACAGGAAAATAAATGTCCCTTCCTGTTTCGTTTTGTTACACCCTGTCTGGATATTACCGTATTCATTTTCTGGGCTGGTGCGTGTATAATGTACTGTGCAGTATTGTATGTGCGTTCATTCGTATGCGTGTGCATGTACGGGAATGGTTCGACCTTTCTGAAGCGGACTGAAAATTAAGCTACGCTTTGAAGTATGTCTGAGTCGATTGGGTGAAGACTACGTCTTTTAATCTTTCCCTGGATTGTGGTGAACGTGTGGCATTATCTAAATTTTAGGACGATATTTTCGCGGAAACGTCTGTTACTCATTGCTTCTCTAACGTCATTGCACGAGTGTTGCTTGAATTCGATCATGTTCGTTGGCTCAAATTTATATCATGTGACGTCAGGTTACGAAGCAGTTTTTTCATGTTCATACACTTGAATCTCCCTGAGTCGAATTCAGCACCTTCCTTTGTAGAATTTTTGTTTCAGGTTCCTCTCTGAATTACTTGAGAAACAACGCATTAAAAGCTTCCCTAACTGAAAGGCTTTTCCTCGCAGTCTCAGACCTATACAGTATAGCTGGAATTTTCTGGGGCCCTCTTGACTATTATTTATTGACACAGGAAAGACAAAACCATAAAAAAATGTAAGGATGTGTTTTGAAAGGAATTGAAAGATCAATTGGGCAAATGAACCAATGCCTTCAAGTTCAGCATCCTTTCAGCTCATTCAAGGAGCAATTTAAGGCCCAGAATATAAAAAATTAATATTTCCCTTCACAGCTTTCTTTCCCCTCAACAAAAAAGCTTGTTTCCCGAATTCGAAATCTCGTTGACTCGAGTTTTAAAATTCTGATTGTCCCTTGACATTCGACCTTAGGAAGTTACGATTGTAGCGCATATGTTGCCTCAAGTTTGTTTCCCAAGTGTCGAATTACATAATATAAATTGACCTTTTTTGGTTCGCTGGGACTGTGTCTGTTACATGTCGGGTGTGCAAGATGTCATTCCATCTTCAGCAAGAAATAACTTGTGATCCAACCTACACCCATGTATCTCACGTCTCCAAAAGACGGATGGCGTGTTCGAACTTGACGAGTGAAAATTATCGAGGTGTTCCTTTGATTTCATATCTTTGGTTCTTGTTGCAGGAGTCTTACCTTGGTTGTTCCTCGGGATAGGACAAAAAATAAAATAAGTTGCCATTCGTCGCGAAGAGGGAATATTGAAGGAAGGAGAACAGGCGTGAAACAAAAGGATAGTGATTAAGGAGGAGGAAGAAGAATAGTGATCGGACGAAGCATGGCGACGACTGCCGCCGAGGAACAACAACTACTACTACCACCACCTTCGGAGCCTGCACCAGCTGTGATTCGCGACCAGTTGGAATACGAAGAGGCGTTTGATGATGAAGAAGAAGACGCAAATTCCGAGTCCGAGGCGTCCCGTGGTGAATCCCCACTAGCAGAAGCAGCACAGGAGACGACGGGGCTGACTTCAGCCAACGCCTCAACAAACGTGCTGTAGCTCAGAGCCCGCGTCGTGCACACGCTACTACACCTGAAACGGCGGCACCGCTTACGCCGCGTAGTGCGACAGCTCTCACGGCTCCTCAAACACGCAAAGGTGTGGGAGTGCGTGCACTTTAGCCACCTGCCGGCGTGGATGCAAGACAACGAGTTCCTTCATCGCTGGCACCGTCCACCGCTCCCATCCTTCTCTGCCTGTTTCAAGTCCATATTTCGGTACACGAGTTTTTTGCGTTTTACTTTTTTTTGTCTTATTGTGGTAAGATGTTGTTACAACGAACTCCCCGGGGCATCAGGTAGAAAGATATATTCGTCATAAAAATGGACTTAACACCAGTGTTTCGCAACCTTTTTGGGCCTGTGAACTGGAAAATTTCCATAAAAAATTTCCGGCCTGGAAAATTTTGCTTAAATTTTCTGCAGACCATCAGAAAAAAAAATTATAATTTTTTCTTACAACGTTTGCAGATTTAAAAAGTTTTGTTTTAAAGACTTCATGGCAGGTATTTAAAAAGGTTTCTGCTTTTTTGAGAAACTTGAGTTAAGAACGAATGAAGCAGCTCTAGTTTAATGTCTTCAAAAAAATTAGGAAGATGGTCTCAAAGAAAGGTTTCTGGGAATGAAAAGATTAAAATAATTTATTTCAACAGGTGAAAATTTGTCTGAAACGTTAATAAGAGAAAATCGAGTTCTTATTTTTCGTCGAATAATTTCAACTACCATTGTTGTACAAAAACTGCAGATGAAGATATAGCTGATTGCTCTATACAACAATCTAGTCTACAGCAATATTCTCTGTTTAACAATTTTTTTCCATTCTCTCAGGGTTCTCTCCCCATGTTATAGGGGTTCTCTGCAACAAACTTCTCCAATTTCTCTCTTGCAAATATTTTTTTCTGGTCCCTGGTATTGTTTTGAGAATAATGCAGGAAGAAATCCCCATTTGTTTGATGTGCCGTGTAAACTTAAGTTGAAGAAATAAATAAGCCGACGCTAAAAATTAAAAAAGTGACTCATTCTCATGACGTTTTTCAAGAGACTCCCTGTGAAAAATGCCAGGTCAGTTTGAAGGGCAAAGTTGAATGAAATCCTTTCGAATCTTTCTGAGCACGTGTAAAAACTGTTCTCAACTGATAAAAATTAAATTAAATTTTTTGATGAATCCTTTTGAACTGGCATCCTTTTTCGAGAGCGTTCATTTATAAAGATCGTAATGAGGGGTGCGATTATCTTTTTCTGACCTTGTCGCAGCGCCTGAACCATTCTCAGAATTACCTGAAGGACAGCTTGGCATTGAGCTTGTATAATCTTATTTTCTATTTCATTGAAATACCGTCAACCTTGGGACATCTGTCATTTCAAATAAATGTCTCCGCGCATGATCCGTGTGAAGTGAACTACAAAAATGAGATTCCAGAACCACTGATCTTTCTTTCGATTCTCGAACGACTCGGGCAGTCAAACAAGACGAATGAACAAGCATTTTTTGCATCATCACGCTTTTTCAAAATTTTTTGAAGATGATGCGGATTCCAGCGCATAAAAGGCGAGGTAAATTAGCGCCACTAATTTACCTCGTATAAATTAGTGACGCAATGTGTAATCTTTAAAAGAGTTTTTGCGCGAATCAGTCATTTATGAGAATTAATTGCTGCCTTAAAAAGGTGCAAGATGGGCGGCGCTGATTAGCTGGTTGAACCACGGAATCAGAGATTGGAAGGGCTGCACAAAATCTCTGCCGATTCAAAAAAGAATTGATCACGAATCGAAAGCGGACTCTGGGGTTCATAAAAGATTAACAAAGTGCCGCTCGCGATTAGCTTTTTCAATTTTTTGTATTTTGATTTCGGTGACTGGTATTTATTCTCATCTTACTTTCGTCTACAGAGTGCACACGGAGACCGGGAACATTTGGACCCATTTGCTGGGATGTTTGGCGTTCATTGGCGTCGCAACCTATTTCCTGACGCGGCCAAGCATTGAAGTGGACATGCAAGAGAAGCTGGTGTTTGCGGCCTTTTTTGCAGGCGCCATCTTGTGCCTGGGCATGTCCTTTGCATTCCACACGGTGTCCTGCCACTCGGAATTTGTCGGCAAGCTCTTCTCCAAGCTGGACTATTGCGGAATTGCCTTCCTCATCATGGGCTCCTTCGTGCCTTGGGTCTATTATGGGTTCTACTGCGAATTCCTACCAAAGGTGATTTGATGAAAGAGGAACACCTTTTTCAAAATTTTTTTTATTAGAAAGGAAGTACAGACCGCAATGCTGTGCAAATATACAAGTTGTCCTAGATGGACGCGACCCTTAATATTTTTAGAGGAGGTGTGATAATATTTGAAAAAAAAATCATGCTATAGCCCACTATGTTCTGAGATTTCAAGATTTTAATGGTATTTTTACAATTTACTACCGTACTTGAGGATAAATGACAACTTCCAGAGTTCTCCGCTCATTACATGGTACCAAAATTGTCAAGCCAGTTGAAAAAATCGAATTTTTTTGTCTGTTTTATGTACATGTATTACCTTTTCTACATGAAGGTAATCCCAGAACCTTGGAGAATCATGGGATGTATTTTGTTTTGTTTTTTTTTTTTTTTTTTGCAATCACATCTACACTAAAATTATCGAAGGTCGCCTCCAACTGGGACAACCCTCCCATGTGTATTGAATAATCGATGGCCTTCAAAGCGTTCAAAAGAGTAATGCTTATTTTTCTCGAGAAATTACAAGCTACAGTACTTCACCACTTAACCAGATAACCGAATACCACGGGTGGAAAAAAACTTCCCGCATTTTGTGAAATGTGCTTTACTCGAGATTTGCGGCAAGTTGAAAGGAGACCATATGCGAAGTTATTACAAAGGGAAGAAAAGGAAGACGGTAATCGAGGTTATGACGACAAACGAGCTGGAACTCGGGAAGAACCTGCTTTTTAAACTCCACAGAAGACGTGTCCAATTTTCTTTTTTTTTTTTTGTGTACAGTTCAGCGCTATTTCGAATGCTTTTTCTGTGTCTCTGCCTTGCTAACCGCAGAACCCGTTCTTGTCGCGTGGCTGGTCACAAATTGAGGTTGAATTACCTTCTCCAGCAACTGTACAATTCTTTTCTTTTTTCGTGGAAATAGAGGACGGGAAGTAGATCACAGTTGAACCTCCGTAAGTCGAATGCGAATAATTCCCTATGTTGAATTTTTAGAGTCCCTCTCTGAATTCCCTTGGAAAGAGTGCCTTGAAAATGTATCTTAATCAAAGGCATTCCCCTCGAATCTCCAAACCTTGAATTTTCTGGAGGCCTTTTGGCTATCATGTTATCAACTCAGGAAAGATAAAAGCAATGAAAATATAAATTGATCTGTTTTGAAAGTAAGTAAAAGACTAATTAGGTAAATGAACCCTTGACTCCAAGCTCAGCATCCTGTCAACTCATTTAAAGAAGGAATGTAAGGCCTAGGCTATCACAAATTAAAATTATCGGAATTATTTTTTAATTACAATCGGGGATGCAGAAATTACCGTCAAAAATTAAGTAAAAAAAATACTCACGATCATGATTTATGTAGTCGCATTTCTCGAGAAGTCAGGTTTTTCATGATTCGTTGTATGAAGCATTTTGTACTACATCAAACCCTTTATCTGAAGAATGCTCATTTATTCTCTTGTCGTACCCTCAGGTGATCTATTTGACGGTGACACTGGTGTTGGGGCTGTGCGCCATCACAGTTTCGCTCTGGGACAAGTTTGGGGAGCCAGCGTATCGTCCGCTACGTGCCGGCTTGTTCATTGGCTTCGGTCTTTCCGGAGTGATCCCTGCTTTGCACTACCTCTGTACTGAAGGCTGGGTCAAGGCAGCTACGGAAACAGCAATGGGCTCTTTGGTCCTCATGGGGGCTCTGTACATCTCGGGCGCCCTCTTGTATGCTTGGCGCGTACCCGAGCGTTTCTTCCCGGGCAAGTGCGACGTGTGGTTTCACAGTCATCAATTGTTCCATGTGCTCGTCATCGCTGCTGCCTTTGTCCACTATCGTGGCATCTCGGAAATGGCCGTGTATCGACTCACCAACGGTGTCTGCAGTGTTTGAATGAAGAGAGCACCAACAACAGTGGGAAACACCAAGAGAAGAGAGATTTGTAGAGATGGAGACGGGAACAGGAGGAGAAAGAAACGAGTAAGAGGGACGATCCCTGGGCTTCTCCTTCAGGAATAACTAAAATCAGATTCAAATCCTTCGTTTGATTTTTTTCGCAGCAATGTCCAATGTTTCTTCCTGATTTCGTGAACTTACTTGCTATGGCGCAGGTTTCTTACCAGAATTTTACCATGTTCACTCGGATCAAAATTTCTGCTAGGATCGGTTAGTTCAGTCTGGGCAGATTTCTTCTGTGTGGTAGGTGATTTGAGTGACACTTGCCCTGCTGAGCTTTGTAGTGAAGAAAGAGCCTTTCTTTTTACGTTATATCGTTACAAAATGAAAACAAATGTTTCTACCTGGACAGAAAGTTGTTCCGAGGAAATTTAATTACTGTACTAAACGTGAAGTGAGCAACACGTGGAAATCATTTTTATTCAATGAAACAAAGAACTAGTGTGCAAGAGTGTCCTTGGTATTTTCTCGAATAATCGTCATTGTTGTTCCGAATGGATTTCGTTTGAGAGGGAAACAAGTGGATCATGGATTAGATATCATTGTTCGCGTGGAAACATTGAGGAGGAGCGTTTTAGATTGTCACAAATCCATGGTGGTTATTGTTCTCTGGACTTGCACTGAACAACAAAGAATCTTCAAAGATGATGTAATACTCTACATTGTCGCTGTTTGCTGAAAAACTTTTTTATTATATACTTATCGGATGCAAATGGGAAAGCATTGTTTTCTTGTTGAGGCAAAAATTAATGTAATTTTGCCACTTACTGTGCATATCCTATTGTTTCAAATAAAAGTGGGAAAGATGAACTACGACATCCTTATACAGTACTCAAAAAATATGCCTCCTTCTTGGCCATCTTGTGTAAAATTCGAACTCTGAACGCCATTAAACTTCTCTTTGTAGCCTTCAGGAGAATAGGGTTACTATAACATTAAACCAATTAAACAACAAAGTTTTTTCTTATACTGTATTAAGATTTTGTTTCATGAGCTGGGACTTATCTATTACTTCATGATTTTTTGGAATTCTGTGGTTGGAGTGTGACTTGATGCACAATATTCTAGATTTTTCTGATTGTCTGTTCCTTGTGAATTTTCAAAATTTGTCTTCTGCTTCGCGTGGAAACATTGAGGAGGAGCGTTTTAGATTGTCACAAATCCATGGTGGTTATTGTTCTCTGGACTTGCACTGAACAACAAAGAATCTTCAAAGATGATGTAATACTCTACATTGTCGCTGTTCGCTGAAAAACTTTTTTATTATATACTTATCGGATGCAAATGGGAAAGCATTGTTTTCTTGTTGAGGCAAAAATTAATGTAATGTTGCCACTCACTGTGCATATCCTATTGTTTCAAATGAAAGTGGGAAAGATGAACTACAACATCCTTATACAGTACTCAAAAAATATGCCTCCTTCTTGGCCATCTTGTGTAAAATTCGAACTCTGAACGCCATTAAACTTCTCTTTGTAGCCTGCAGGAGAATAGGGTTACTATAACATTAAACCAATTAAACAACAAAGTTTTTTCTTTTACTGTGTTAAGATTTTGTTTCTTGAGCTGGGACTTATCTATTACTTCATGATTTTTTGGAATTCTGTGGTTGGAGTGTGACTTGATGCACAATATTCTAGATTTTTCTGATTGTCTGTTCCTTGTGAATTTTCAAAATTTGTCTTCTGCGATGTTTTCTCCCCATTGAATATTATAAAGTTGTTAAAGTTGTTGTGTTTGCTTGTTGATTTTAATCTAAATCCGAATGCTCCAGTATCCCTCTATTGTTGAAGTCGATGTTATTCTCAAAACTCTGCTGGTAAGTAATTTAATGTAGTCTGTATTGCGAGTTTAAATTTTTCATGAGCACAGTCTGAGGTGGATTAAACTTTCTAATGCTCCGGTTTATTCATGAGGAAGAGTTTTTTTTTCTGAAGAATTCGTCGAACAGTTCATGTTCATTCCGCGGAAAGTCTCATGTTCTGTGGGGAAGCCTGGGTTTATTTTCTCCCTCTCTTTCTCAAACAGAAGTGCCTAAAACGGATTCACCGAGATGAAAGAAGGGTGTATTCCAAAGTGCAAATTGCGAGGAATTCGGAAAAGTATCAAGTTTTGATTGGGAATATGTTTGTGAACCAAAAAAAGCATAGGTCAGGATTCTGTTTCTTCTTTCCGTTTCCTCGACACAAGTGATGTGATAGATGTTTTTCTAAAATGCCACACCATGAGCTGTATCCTGCGTGACTTCGTTTTACTTTGTGGCGGATGGATTGTTTAACCAAGGTTTTTTTCGTTTATCGAAGCCTGAATGAAGAAGTCGCTAGTATTTTTTTTTAGAGTGATGGTTTACGTTGTGCCGTGTGTAGAAAAATGAATCCCCGTGCGGCTAATTCCGGGAAAAACGAGAATTGAGTTTGGACTTGATGGGAATGAAACAAAGGAAAATGTACCAATGGTTTTGGAAGAACATCGATGTCATGTTTCATACTTTGACCTCACAATATTCTCATGATTTAGGAAGTTGTATTCTATATTGCGTCGACTCTTGACATTGGGATTGCCGAAAACGAAGGCGTAATGGAAATTTCCGAAGAATGAGTAAATTATTGCGGGCCGATCAGATGTCGCCCATGTCGTCAAACCGAACTCCTGCGAATACACCAATAAATGAACATTCGAATACCTGACTCGAATGAACGACCTTCAAACCTACGCCCAAGAACAGGTAATAAACCGGTTCAAGAGATTTGCAGCTACCCGAAATCCTGCGGAAACAGACATCACTTCTGCTCCGTAGCTCCTGACGGTCGGCATCGTTGAGGAATGTGTTACCTGTCCAAATGAGTGTGTGTGTTCCAGTTGCGTTTGTTAATCGTGAAACAAAACATACCTTGACGCTCGAGTCGTCAAACGACCTATCGTTCAGTATTTACAATTCATTTCTTCAAATATTATAGCCTTCTCTTTGTTGGCGTTGTCTTCATGACCCGCGACAGAAATGATGTAGAGTGTGCTTAAATTACTCTTTACGACTGTACGAAATTATGATGAGATCCGAAAAGTTTTTGAATGCGTTGAATTGTGTCAGTGAATGTGGTCAGTCACAGACGCACCAATGCCCAGTGCAAGGTATAAGACCAGTCCCCAAAAAAATTACAAGACGGAAGTACAACTTGAATTTTCTTCTGGTGTGAGCCAGGAACAATACAGTACTTCTAACATATTTGCCTAGTTCGAGAGTTGTTTCGCTGAAAATACTCAACTTAGTGTTTCTTTATCATGATGAGCCAATGAGTATTCCTTGCATGTCAGTCGTTTTCTTTGCCGTGATTGCATTATTGGGAGAAGATGGAAGTACAGCACTGTAATTCATGAGTCACTTACGGCTGACGCCCTGAATCAAATAATGGGACACCGATCAGCGGGACAACGTCAAAGTGAAGCAAACTTATGCTTACAGCATTCGGTAAGTGATCGTTCTAGTCCTCGTTTTAAATTAGCTTGCACTATTTTGCTGGGATTTATAATTTTTAAATTTGAATTGCCTTTTCTACGTTTTACCCCAGTAGCAGATTTTCAATTCCAGACGTACTGCTGGTACTCTTTACATCCAGCAGAGGTTACCTCTGGAAAATAACCTTTCCATTGCATCTATCTCTGTATTGCTGTAATTGCCAACATCCTAAACTGTCAGAAGCACACGCACTGCACAGTTATTGGTATCCTGCCAAATTTTAACAGTACGTTATTTGTGAATGTGAATTAAGTGCACTTGTCCAAGCACACATCATTTCCTGGCATTGACCAGCACTAATCATGTTGTACGAAGACCAAGATCAATTTTATATTACCTGTACGCTATGCTGTGAACAGGTTGAAAAGAAAAGTACCTGATTCATGAGGAACCCCATCCCTACCCAGTAAATAATGTGGGTGTTGGGCAGCTAGATGTTAAGGCAATGCCACTGTCAAAGAATTTCGTTGCCATTTTCCCAATGGTTAGGATTACAGCCAATGCCCTTTTCATTGGTGTAAGGCTAGCTCAAGGTGCAGCAGATTGATCAGAGCTGCCCTCTGAGACCATTTACCTGCAGCTCCCTCTAGCCTCTTGTTGGTTAGTCCAGTGGGCAGGCTGGTGTCACAGTGGGGCGGGGCATCAGAATTTATAGGGGGCTTGATTTTATGGGTGCCCCCATTGAATTGTGTCTGCCAAACAGAGGCTGAATAAGGAGCAACATCTAGATGCATTGATCAGCAGCATTCTTCCTGAAATATGACTTGGCTCTCTAGGATAACAAGCAGGGTTGCAGTTGTCCTTGATCTCTTCATGAACTACACATGGAGGTTTTCTGTATGATGTGAATTGAAAAATAAGAGCTCTGAAAAGATGGTTTCCTGTAATAGATATAATTTCAGTGATTGGTCTTGCATTCACTGAGCTATACATTTCCTCTGCAAAAAACCACTCAGTAATGTTATTCTGAAAAGCAGCAGATGATGATCTACAGTTTTTGTAGCATTTTCTCTTCCAAGTAAAATTAGAAAGCTCTTTTGGTGTTCAAAAGAAAGGAGATCTGATATTCTTCACTATAGTGCAGCATACATGTGCAAGAGTTGGTTCATAAAAGTTTATCAACAGTCACATGCCATCACATGAGGTGGATGTCAATTTCTTCCTTCTACTCTTGAATCCTTCACCAGTGTCCAATACATTTTTGACCCACTACCCAGCTACAGATGGAAACAAGAAGAAAAATACCTTGTGCAGTGAATGTCCTCCACAGCTAAAGTGAAGTTTGATCAAGAGAAGTTGTGTACTTGCATGCTCTACACCTTTTAGGGTTTCATTGCCTGAGTGCAATGAAGTTTTTCTTGAGAATGAGAAAGCATCTTGGTGATGAAGCTTTGGGTCATGCAACTTTCTTACAGATGGGGAAAATAAATCCAGAACAAACATTTTGATATGAGGAATTCTCAATGTGAAGGACGTCCCAGAATTTCAACCATCCAGCAGCAGTGTGCAAGGTGTTGCCTATGTGGGAGCCCTAATAAAAAAGGATCCTTGCCAAACAAAAAGAATTGCTGCAATCCTTGAGATGGATCTCATGGCTGCATGGAGGATCCTCGCTAAAAAAATTTGCTGCAGAAGTAAATGTGCTTGGTGGATCCAAAAAATTTGATTAGGGCCCCTACACAAGCAACGTCTTGCTCATTGAATGGTTGGAATTCTGGGACATCCTTCACATTAGGCATTGCTCATGTGGAAATTTCTGTTGTTGAATTTGTTTTTCCATCTTCAAAAAGTTGCATGGCCCAAAGCTTCATTGCCAAGATGATTTCTCATTCTTGAGAAACACTCCATTGTACTCAGACTAGGTAACCCTTAATTTCAAAGGGCATGCAAGCACAGCAGGTGCTCTTGATCAAACTTCACTTTAGTGCATTTCAGAGGAGGGCATTCACTGTGATATCTTTTTATTATTTTCATCTGTTTCTGGGTATTGGGTCAGAAATTTATTGTACATTGATGAAGGACGGAAGAGCAAAAGAAAAACAGTTTTATAAACTTTTTTGAACCAACCCTTGTATATGGTATCCACTGATCTTTTAATGGGCGTTTATTTATAGATGAGAGAAAAATGCTGAGAAAGCAGCTCTGTGAATGTGTGGGGCCCATCATGGGACAGTTATTCCGTGGTAGTTTTTTGTACACGTTTATTTTGTCCTCTGAATGGGCCCACACGGGGGTAGAAGAGAAGGAGAAGCACAGCAACCCCTATCCCTGGCCATAGTTGTTGTATAGGAGCTAGTTGTTTCCTTAATTTGATCTTGGATTCTACATTCTTTCACCCAAGAAGAATAAAATGGTCGTCTGTTACTGAAGGAACAAGGCTGGAAGGTTTATACATGTCTCTTCCTGTGAATGGAAGATCGATGGAGTTGAGGTCCTGCATGCTGTATTTCTTCATTAGAGCAACTGAAGAAGCCCACGGAATAAAATGTGTTCTAGTCCGGGAAAAAAGACAACAATGGACACGTTTTTTTCTGAAAAACCGAACAGTTGAGATTCGCATGGAACAGTTGGCATGCTTAAATCATTTCCAAGCCCTGCACCAGGAAATAAATAATATACTGTATAGCTTTTGAGAATTTAATTTCAGTATTCATTTTACTGCTTGAGAAATTTCTCAAGTATGATTTAACTCATGAAAAGTACAATACTGTACATGTCTGTTGAAGTTTTATCCATGAATGCAGACTATTAATCAGGCACTCTCATCTCAGAAGTTCAAGCCAAAAAAAGCAAGACCATCAAAAAATTTTGTGGAACTATCTAAAATTTGTTGTCATACTGTGACTTATTTTGTTGTAACAGGATTTTACAGTTCATATACATATGAAAAGTACTGCCTACTTTTAGGATGAATACAGCAGAGATAATATAAGCAGAAGAGGTTATTAGTATAGACATGATGGCGGCGATGTGCTGGAAGAAGTCTTGATATACTGTATAAGAAACACATTAGATCTTGCCTGGACATCACTTAATAATCCAATGATCTAAATACTCCGAACTTATGAGTGAATATTGTGTGCAGTGCAAGAATAATTTTTTTCATGGCTTCCTATGTTGCTCTGCATTGGGAATTAATCCTGCTGATTGGTCCAGCCCAAGAAGGAGGAATTCTGAATATTTTTGACATGTTAAAAATATCGATTATGATGTATGTTTGAATGCAGCCCCTTTACTTAGATGATGAACTTCTCTCTTGGGTTCCAAATGACACTTCTGAGGTCCTGCAAAGTTCACTGATCAAGTGAGGTCATAAAAGAGAAACAAGCGTCCAAATCATCCAGCCATATAGGACATACATATTAAACATTTAACCTAATACTAATGCATATTCAAGCATTTCCATTATTTGATGTGTTGAATTGCGCCAAAAAAAGTCAGATTCTTTGTGAATTTTACTGGACTCATGATCAGCAGCCTGTGTTCTTTTTACATTGGGTCTTGCACTCTTGCATATATAATGAGCAAATATTCAAAGATAAAGTACTTGAAGGTTGGTTGTACAAATTCAATCTTGTTTTAGTGATGATGCAACGTAAAAAAATACGGGTGTTAATAGTTTTTCACATTATACGAGCTTTGCAATTTTTGTGAAGTACTGTATGTTGGTAGCTTTCATCATTGGGTAGTCATGATTGATCCATCGTATCTTCTTCAGTTGTCACTTATTGATGACTTTCCAATTTGGTGAGCAATTGTCCTGCGTGATTCTTGTCCTGAAAAAGAAAGAAAGCCGGCGCATCTGGAATTTCCCGTCGCAAAATTAAATGACGAACTCCTCTCTCGAGATTTTTCTCACAGCAAAAAAGCAGTGTGTGTGTATTTGAACAGTGTTGGGCCATGTTTCTTTGCATGATGCAGTGTACACTATGTATTCGTTGGGTTGAAAAAAAGGTGGGTGGCATATATTTGATATACCAAACAAAAAAACAGGGGAGGAGGAGAATCATGTCATGTTTGCTTCAAGAGTATAAAAATGTGCGAGAGTATATATGAGGAAGTATGGAAGGGGATCGTTTTGCTTTTTTTTGCAGAAAATGTACCCTAAAATTGCCGGCGGCAGAAGCGCAGGCAGAGAGAGAGAGCCACACGAAAAAAAGGGGCAACAAATAAAACCGAGGGGGGGAAAAAAAATCCAACCCTTGCACGCAAATTCTTCCTCTCTCTGTCTCTCCGCAACAAAAAAAAGAACCCCCCCATCATTCGAATCTTGATTCACAATACTCTTTACGAAGCACTCGAACACCAAAACATCTCACATTTGAATTCCCAACGACGATGTCGCACGCCAAAACATTTTCTTCGCCTCTTCCCTTCTTTTCTCTTCATTTTCTTCTCCTCTGTACACAGAAATCGACGCGAAAACTTGGCAGAGGGGTTGAGGAATTGCAATGAGGAACAGGAAGAGCCAATAACACACCCCAACGGGGAATTAAACTGCGCCCATCTGAGCTTTTTCAGATTCTCCAAATAGCATGTTTTTGTTTTAGGACAGCAAATGGTTCAAGGTATGCATGTGCTGTTGAAAATGCAGACTGAATAATCGAGTATTTTTTTGGGAGTTCATCTTGGCAAATAAAAAGAGGTAACATGCCTTTCAACTTCGTCAAATAGAATCCCATTAGAAGAAAATTTGCAATTTCACAGCTGGTCAAAAATGCTTGGAGCAGTTTAATGCTAAGAAGGTAACTCAGATTTTTTCTGTAGAAACCACAAATTCATTTTCCCGCAACTTTTTTTCGTGGAGGAACTGTCTTTAAAGTATTGGAACCTCTACTTTGACAATATTTTTGAGAGAATCTCAATGACTGAATGGGAATTCAAAAATGATGCAGAATTCTTTTGAAAACGGGATCGTACCTCGTTTCAAAGATAAAATGACCGCGCAAACATTTTTTTGCAAAATTAACCAGCATCATAAAGTCCTTGAAGTTTCCCGTTTTTCTCCCAAGATGAACTCGCTTGCTTCATATTTGCTGTGTAAAAAATTGATACTGAGAACAGAAAATTCTCCATTGGGCAGTTTTTCAGCACACCAAAAAAGGTTTCAAAGCATTCTTTCCTGTTTTTGACACCAGACAAAAGGGACATCATGATCACTTTGATTCCGATTTTTGCAAAATCGGTCAATGGAACAGAAATCTTGTTTTTTTTCTCTCTGTCTTCTCCGAAAAAAAAAGGTATCCTTTCCGTCTTTTTTCGCACGTGCAAAATGACTCGGTTTCAACCAACAAATACTGTTGCATAGCCCTCCTTTTCTTTTTCTTAGGCGCCAAATACACAACATGGGCAAAAAGGACTTAATTGCAATTGGGGACCTTGTTTAAAAAGTGAAGACATGAACTTGCTGAATTTTTTTTTTTTAATTGAGCTGTTGGATTTGAGGGGTATGATTTTGGCACATAGCCGGTACATGTCTTTCTTTTTTGCATTTGAGAGTCAACTTTCCCGTGAAAAGCAGTGTATTGGGCGCCTCGGCAGATGTTTTTTTTTGCCGGAAGGGGGCGCAGTATGGGACAAGTGGAGAGATCCAAAAGCAAGCGAGCACAAAAAAAAAACGGAAACAAACAAACGAAAAAGTTTCTGGTATCGCCGAGTCCCGCGGGGGGTTTTCCTCTCTTCATCCCAAACACACACGCAAAATTGTTTCTTTTTGCAAACCATGAAAGAAAAAAAAAAGAGAACAATTTTGTTTTGTTTTTTTTGCCATCAACGCAAAGTAAAAATAATAGCACTCGGAAAACACATTTTTCTCTCCCATTTTTTTCCCTGCAGAAACAGGATCGGGAACACAAATATCGTTCGCGTCGGAAATCAGCTGGTTCCGACTGCATCTCACGTCGAAATCACTTTCCGGGGGTTCCGGGGACACCTTTTCTCTCCCTCTCTCTCTCTCTTCTCTTTCTCTGCAATCATCCCTTTTTCAAAATCCCTTTTTCCCTCACATCCGTAGAGAAAAAACAAAACAAAACCGAAAAAAGCGAACTTTGGGATACAATTCGAGAAGGAAACGAGAGAAATAAACGCGAGTCAGCGACTCTCACTCATTCACACTCTTTTTCGGGACCTCGTTTCGCGACCAACAAATTGACCCGCAATTCGGCATCGCAACGAAAAAAAAAAAGAAAGAGAAACCACTCAACAAAACAGAAAAAAAAAAATGCACCACGGTTCAATCTCGCTTCTTGTAGGTTGAAAAACACAGCTTCATGATGTACGGAAACTTGCCACCAGCTGAAAAAAAAGTAGCATAAAAAGTCAGAGTTTTACCTTAAAAAAAAATCATAATTCAAAATCGCTGTGCTCTTTTAAAATGAGCAATAATTACCCGGGTTGGGAATGGAGGCGTGGTTGACGGCGACGAGTGCGTTGAGGGCGTCGTCTACCTCTTTGAATTCAAGCAGACCAGACGAACTTCGCTCGCCTTTTTGGAAGAAAAAAAAAGCGCAAAAATAAATCATTTAGCGAAAATCAAGAAAGGCTCGAAAAAAATATAAACTTACTTTTCGACTCGAAAAACTTGACCGACGCCGGCTTCCTCACCGCCGCCTCATCGAACACTTTGAAAAGCTGCTCTTCTTTCATGCCCGGCGGTGTGTTGAAAAAGTGCAGTATCTGGAAGTGCAAAAATCGGAATTGAAAATTCAGTCACAGGAAATGAGACTCGCAAGTAGAATTTTCAACGTTTTTTTTTTTTATCAGCAGTTCATTCATTCCAAATTTTACGAGAGGCTCAATGTCAAAACCAGAAAATACAGTGGTTCCACAGTTGATAAATATAAACAGTTTCAGTGGGAGGTCCATTATCCGAGTTATTTAAACCTTCATATAACGTCTAATCCGTTCCAGACCCTCAAAAAGTCTTCTACCGAGTAATGAAAAAAATTGTTTTGATGATTAATTCTGTATCATTCGAGAATGTTCTTGAAATTTTTTTGAATAAATCACTAAATAAATAGCTGTTCAAAATGGGAAAAAAATCACACAAAATTCCATTGCTCAATACTCCCGAGAAAATAAAAAAATGTCTTGATTACCATTCGAACGACGATATGTTGACATCCATAATAACTAAATTTTTCTTAGAGAGCCCAAAAAATATCGTCGCATCTAAATCCGAAAAAAGTCCACAAATTAAAAGCAAAAAAACGTTTATTTTCTGCACAGCACAATTCCTGCTATGTTGACATCCATAATAACTAAATTTTTCTTAGAGAGCCCAAAAAATATCGTCGCATCTAAATCCGAAAAAAGTCCACAAATTAAAAGCAAAAAAACGTTTATTTTCTGCACAGCACAATTCCTGCTCAATTTAAATGAAGTACGTTACAGTACTATATTCTTCTTTCGGACACGTCGCATTTTTAAACTAAATCTCCAAGGCTGACAGTTTTGAAACTCCAGAACTCGGAGCAGAAATTTTCATTTTACAACAGTGACAAAGAATACCGTTGAAAAACATTTCAAAGAAATTTCACGCAGTGAATCATGTGGCGCCAAGAAGACTTTCTAAAGAACCGAAAATCTGTTACTTCACGTATTCTTCCACTAGCTTAAATCGAGTCTTTGCCAATTACAGTAACTTAAATTTGTTGACTTACATAGGTGGTACGCTACACCGCTTAGTCCGCTCATAGTATACGTAATCTTTTTTCTTTGGGCAGCGTTTTTTTTTCGTGACCAATCGTAATGCCATGCACTCTTTTAAACCAAAGGTTCATCCAGTATTAGTGGAACCAGAGTACTGTACATTTTTCAAACAAGTGAGTCTAAATTTTTATCGCACTCGAAAAACTTGAAAGTGGTTATTGGCAACGTGGAAATAATTTTTGTGAATATCTGAAACGGATTAAATATTTCCCCAATAACTCTCGAAGCCTATCCTCGTTTCTTTCAATGAAATTCTTTGCCATTTTAAACAAAAATTGCTTCCTCAATTTTCAATTGTCTGTGTTTGTGTTTTTCACAAAAAATTGAGAGAATATTCCAAGAAATTAGATTTTTCTTTGATTAAAAACACAGAAAATTATCCTTTAGCAGAAAAATACAGTAAACACAATGTACCGCTTTTGGAATGAAAAAGAGTAAAGAAAATAGCACACTTATTGCCATGATACCCACAGCTGATTGAAAACCTAGTTAAAGAAGCACAAAATTTGCTTGTTTTGAAAAGTACATTTGATTAAATTTATGACGATTCATTCTGACCTCACACCCATGATAATAAAGTAGCTCGATTTTTCCGAGAGATTAACAATTTTAAAAATTACGCATTTTGTAAATTTTTCTGAAGAATTTTGGTCAATAAGTGCTAGCGTATCTCGAGAGACTGTCCGGACATCGGGGCAGAATTCGTGAAGCGTAAAAGTGTCAATAAGTTGAATTGTCCGGATGTCGGGGCACCTCACTCAAGTTTTTTCTCCTTTTTTTTTCTTTCGGTTTTTGGTACTCGTCTCATTCAAAATTCCATTCTTCTTGACAACACTGACCTTGGTTGGCGGCTGTATCCGGTTCTTGCTGGCCTGTTCGGCATTCATGAACCGGTTGTTCCGCGAGCCCATGTA